TGAGTTCCTTTTCCTAAACGTGGTTGCTTTCTCCTTGGAAAGCAAGTGCTGGAAATTGAACTCAGAGCCTCATGCACGCTACGGCACGCTACTAAGCCTCATGCACACTACTACACACTAAGCTCAGTCCCCTTCCCTGAACTTTTGAAACTTTCAATAGATGTTCCTAGGAAGACATTCTCTGCAGATTATCATTCCTATGTGATGTTCTTCCTAAGCTATACATATAACACTGTTTTCATCACTCAATCTAAAGCCTAAAATTTAGCATGAATCTATCCAATCTCAAAAGTTTTCATAACAAAAACAAAGTAATTTACATACAAAACTTTCAGCTCAATTCAAGATTTGGGACAGGATCTCAAATCTTTTTTTGAGATTTTTGAGACAGTATCTCTCTAGTGCAAGCTGGCCTTAAACTCATTCCATATCTCAGGCTGGCCTGAAACTTGAGGCAATCTCCTACCTCAGTCTCCACAGTGCTGGGATTACAGGCACATAGCACCACGCTTGACTACTAGCTCAAAACAATAGATGGTGCTTCTACTCTCTCCTTTGCTATAATCAAGACAACAATTTTTTCTAAGAAAAAATAGGCATTTATTCCAAAATAAGAATGTACTTTTCAGTCCATGTGTAACTAGTAAGTCTTACAACCATGTATAGTTTACACAATTAGATCCTGTTAATGCAATAAACACAAAGATATACAGCACAAAAACCCTACTCATTTGAGGTTCACTTCCATAGTCTACTGTGCTATGGCTTGGATATTGATTCCTGCAAGGCCTGTTCCTGGACCTGAGATGGGACTGCTGGAAGAAGTCAGGGTACTAGGTGTGCCCTAGAAGGGGATACTGGGTGTGCAGATCTTCCTCTTCCCCTTCTGCTGCCAGTGGCCATGAGGAGCAGCTTCCTGTGCCCCTGGACCCACCTGCCACCAGCCCCCAAGACACAGGCCCAATGGGTTAGGGACTAAAGCCTCTGAAATCTCAAGAGAAAATAGCTCTCTTCTCTTTTTAAGTTGACTCATTTCAGGTATTAGCTATAGCAATGGAAAGCTGACAGACACAACTTCTACATCCAGCAAGAATTTACTATCTATAAACATATATATTGTTTACAGTAATTCACAAATAATCACAATTAAACTCCACTGTTAAAAGTAGTATTTTTCAGATGTTTGAGAAATAAAAATACTAAATCTAATAGTTTTTGAAAACAGGCTTTTTCAGTCAACTAAACTTACTAAAGAAACACAATCCTACATGCTATACACAGACCTTATACCTTAACTCATACAGGTAATGCCACGTAGGTCAAGTCCCACTTTCACCAACACAACTGTATTACCTTCCCAACACAAGGATTACAAAAGAAACCATGAAAACCCTTTCCAAGTATGATGACTGATTTTAGGTAGATGTCAACTTGACCAGTTTAATGGACACTCAAACAGCAAGTAGTGCACTGATTATTCTCAATACTTTACCAGGCACTGAGGCTTTCTTTTTCTGTCAAAAGGAAGTGAGGTGATTTGGACTAACCCCAATGACCCCTCATCAGCTGACATGTGAGTTAACAGTTTAAGAGGGGAAGGCGAAGATCTATGCTCACTGGAAGTGGGCGCCATCCAGGTAGAGACCAGGATAAGAAAAAAAAAAAGGTTGAGGAAGGATGAGTCCTTGTTCTTTCCAGTAGAACCAGGTTTTCCTTCTTTCCTGGCCCTGAATACCAGAACTTTCAGCTTTCCTGCCTGTGAACTCTAGGTGTCACACCCAGAGTGAGACCCTCCCCCAACCACTGCTGCTCAGGTATTTGGCTGAGAGTTACACCATTGGTTCCCCAGGTTCCGAGACGTCCGGACTTGACGTGAGCCATACCACCCAAACACCTGCTTCTCCAGCTTGCAGATGGCCCACTGGAGAACTTCCCAGTCTCCATGGTGCAAAAAAATCAATTCCACTAACAAGCCTCCCTCTCTCTTCCCTCTCCCCTCTTCTCTCTCTGCCCCCCCGTCTCTGTCTCATATCTCTAATTCATGCTGGAAAGACTAATTTTTAGAAGTATGAGATCACAGAATTAGATCCTGTTAATGCAAGAAACACAAAGGTATACTGCACAAAAACCAACCAACACTATAAAAACAACTGTTCTCTCAAAAATGACTGATAAGTTCTAGTTGATCCTAGCACCTCAGCTGGCCACGGAAAAGTTGGTAAAATTAAATAAGACCTCACACTTTTAACTTTTTTTCTTTTTTAATATATTTGGTACAGGGTCTCAATACACAGGTCAGACTTGTAGTGATCCTCCTGTCTCAGCCTCCCCAGTGCTAGGATTACAGGTGTGCGCCACCACGCCAGGTTTCAGTGGCCAGCTCAGTCCTCCCAGCATTCAGGGGCAGGCACGGGAAGTTATATAAGGGATCGAACCCTGGTCCCTGCACTTAAGTTCTTCAGCAAAACAAGGAAAGACCTTTGTATATATTGTGAGAAACACCATGTTAATAACTACATATAATAAATAGGCATACATGAAGAATTCTATACAGGACTAAAAACTAACATTTGAAAAAGGAAACACAAACTCTGCTTTGCTACTAAGGAGAGAAAAGGAAAAAGGAGATAACCACATTTCACCTTTTTTGGGAAGGATAGGGTACTCTGTGTACATGCATAGACACGTATGTGCGCACACACGTGTGTTATAGGGGTATGTGAGTAAATCAAGCCCAAGTCTTGCAGGTGTGGGACAGCCTCTCTTGAGCTGCCCCTCTACCTCTGATCGGGCATTTTCTGTTTGCAGAACTATAGCGTATATATGAGTGACAAACCCGTTTAACCTTTCACACTCAGCTATCTGAATATTAAATTACACATGCATCTTAGTAAACATTAGTATGCCCCACAGCAGTGCCCACTCCTGGAGCACACTCCCTTGTATAACCTGTCAGGTGTAGGCTAGGTCTCTAGGCTCCCTCCTGATGGACAGAACATGGGAAGAGGCTGGCGTGCCAGTTCCCAGATAAGAAGGCGAAGCCCTGCCCTCTGTCTTGCAGCCGTGCTCTTGCCAGTCTGGCTAACTGAAGTGCCGCCCTGCAGACACAGCTCCTGGTTTGAGGGACCCAGCACGCCTCACATGCAGTCAGCGCAAAGATAAGGGCCCACGCTGCTCCTCCCCACAGCCCCTGGGAGATGGCAGCACCAGCCCAAACCCAGGTTTGCTACCTAAGCCAAAGGACCCCAACAAGCTACACCCAGGTTCTCCAACCACAAAAACCAATATGTTCATTATTATAAGGGCTGTGCTGATTTTTTGTTCTAATGAAAGGTAAAGATGTATTGCTTAGCTGCATGCAGTAAGCAGCTCCTCCTGTAGTCTCAGCTACTGGAAGACTGCTTGAGCCTAGCAGTTCAGGACCACCCTAGTCAACACAGGAGAAAACACCGCTGATAAGTGGTAATGCCAGGATTTAAATAAACAGAGTACACCAAAAAAAGTGATTTATTTAAAATCATAGTTTGCAGCTGAGCTGTGATTAAATGTAATGATACTGTCTTACATTCAGATGTTCTTTTCCGAAGAAGTAAAATAAAGCCAGTTGTGCTGGTGCACATCTGTAATCTCAGCACTTTAGAGGTTGAGGCAGGAAGATCACTGTGAAACAATTTTGAGGCCAGCCTGAGCAACACACAGAGGTCAAAGCCAGCCTGTAACATAGTGAGATATTGTCTCAAACATAAGCACTGTTTTTGCCTGCTGCTTTATCTATTTGTTGTAATACCCCTCGAATCACACTAACAGATTCCTATTTTCTTCCACTCCCTGCATTTTAAAACCATGTCCTGAAAGTTTTAATACTTTTCTTGCATTTGCTAATCATTTTAATATATTGGAATTAAGATTCACTTCTACACAGTTTAAAAATATTAACAGTTTAAAACAGTTTAAAATTATTATCTCAATTTTTGAATCTCAATTAAAATGCAAATGCACCTGGAAGTAGTACTATACACTTTTGTGAGCTACTTGAATTTTCATTAAGTATAACTCAACCCTTTCCATTTAACAGGCTTCAGAACAACAGCCAACGTTAAGTCTTTATAGGATCTTCCCTAAACCATACTTGTTCCAGGGAATTTGACTGAGGAACTGATTCTGTTCTCAGCAATCTGCAGTGTGCTATGCAAGTGCTAGCCTCTCCTGTGAGTCTGCACTACAAGAGACACAAGTCTTAGGTGAGGGACGCAGTCATGTTCCCCATCCAAAGCATGAAACAGGACGACAGCACCAAAACACGATGATATCCCCAAACCAGACAGAAAAGACCAGAAACCAACCCAGCTTTTTTCTACCCACAATCCCAGAATATGCCTAGGCCACTCCCCACAGCCTGATCACCTCCCCTTTTTGGTCCTGCACTCAGTATGGAAAAAGATGGTGAAAGGTACCCTCTCTGAAGCTGAAGAGCATCCCTGAAGGACCAACAGCCTCAGCTAAAAAGTAAACTCTTCAATAACCACAGAGTGAGGTGCAACAGTGAGATGAAGGCACAGCTGGACAATCTAGGGAAAGCTGCTTCCTTTGATGACTTTCAATGTCTACTTTTATTGCAAGTACCCAACAAATGAATGAAGGCTTATTCCATTACAACTCCAGGAACCTGATAGACCCTTCCAGGAAAAATAAAATGGATAAATAATGCTTTAAATACATGATCTTTACCTTTTTTAGGTGCCTACCATCAAAGTAATAGTGACTTAAAACCAAAATTGAAACTGAAGATAATTTACTCTAATATACTTTTTGGGGTAGAAATTAAAAACCACGAAGGAAGTAACGCTCCCTAGTATGCCCAGCTGTCAGTCCTAAAGCAGGACATCCAGTGATTTGAGTAAGTAGGGTACTCCTCAGCCATGGAGGCGGCTAAGACAATCAGGAATCAGTCCTGGCTCTTTTTCAACAGGTTAAAAAAAAAAAAAAAATCCCCAACGCACCTGATTCTGTGTTATGGGATGGCATGAACCTGCGTAGAAACCACAGGACTGGCAGGCACTTTCTTCCTGAAGCAGACTTGGAGACGTACTATTCCTGTACTAAAGAAAAGAAAACCTTAATAAATGCTCAGAATATAAAAAGACTAAGCATCATGGGGCACTCATTTTCTAATGACTATCTCCAGAAGACCACTTTGAGAAGGATATAATCAATTGTTAAAATCAGTGAAATTAGCCAGGCGTGGTGGCACATGCCTGTAATCCTAGTACTCAGGAGGCTGAGGCAGAACAATCACCAAGAATCTGAAGCTAGGCTGGGTGATACAGTGACTTCAAGGCCAGTCTGAACTGCATACTGAGACCTTGTCTCAAAGCACAAATGAGTTACAACTGTGTTACTACTGTCTTACCAGGCGGCAGACACATACTCCCTGAGTAAGATGGAAGGTCTTAATACAGATACACTGAAAGCCATAGTACTTCAGGAATTCAACTGGCAACAGCGTAAGAGGAAGAAATGAGGCCATGCTTCCCAAAATAAAAGGTCAGTTGAAGCTCTACAGACATCTTGTTCCGCTTCTTTGTTTTACTGGTGAGGAAACTAAGGCTAGACAAGTCGTGCTGGGACTTGGTGACAACACAGGTCCTTCAGGGCAGAGCCAGATTCCAAACCCACCCTACCACTTACAGGCCAGCTTTCTTTTGTACATCACGGTTCACTCCGCCTTCTCCTCAGAGAAAGAAGGGCAGTAACAACAACAAAATTACTTCTCTATGATCATTTCCTCAAAAATCATACTCCACCTTCAAGTTATTTGCCAAATATACTGAATATTTCAATGTTTCTTTTATTTATAATTCAGTTTTTCAACATAAGAACACCAGTGTGAACCAGGAAATCTAGGTTCTGATCTCTCTTAGCCTTGTTCTTAAGTTACCCCATCACTTCTTTGGTCCCAAAGCACCTTTATCCAAAAGCGAGAGGCTTCAATCAATTTCCAAGAGTTTCTAACTATAATGTGTGACTAAGAAGGTTGGTCTTTACAGTCTGCCTTTTCTAGGCAGATTCTTGCTACACAGTTCAACCTGGTCTAGAACTTATTATATAGCCCAGGCTGGCCTTGACTCACAGCTGTCTTCCTGCCTCAGCCTACAGAGTACAACAGTCTGCTTTTCTAAGCAAATACACTGTGTCATGGAACTCTGTTTGTTCGTCACTTTAATAGTATTATAATAATTTCCCGGGGCTGGGGAGATGGCTCAGTGGAATAAACACTTCCCTGGCAAGCGCAAGGGCCTGAGTTCAATCCCCAGTTCTGCCAAAAAAATAAATAAAATAAAAAAATAAAAAATAAATAAATAATTTCCCTCCCCCCAAAAATCAGGTAATAATTCAAAAAACTATCCAATGATAGTCTTATTTTCATGTCTTTCACATCCTGGCTGTTTCTAATTTTATAGGGATCTACCAAGGGTTGGAAAGAAAAGTATGCCTTGTAAGATGACATGCTAAGTGATTTCTGGAGAAATAAACAATCATTTCCTCAAACCACTGCTTCAGTTATTAACCAACAGGCCTCTACTATAACAGGCGGCAGACACATACTAGCTTAATGACATAGTCTTAATACTGAAACACTGATGGCCACCGTATTTTAAGAACACAACTGGCAATAGTGGAAGAGGAAGAAATGAGGCCACGCCTTCCAAACTGTGACTTCAGAGCATGCCTTTAGTATTTTTACATGGATGAGCTGCTACATACAACAACTATCTGTAACACATTTGATTAAATTTGGAGCAAAATGGTGACACACACGCAGATAGCTGTCGCTGAAGTCAATGACTAAGCCCAAGTTAGAGGTGCTCTTCTACCTGCCTTCCTCCGCTGCATGCCAGTCGCTCCTCAGCCCTCTGCCACTGCAATCCCACATTTTTATGACTTTTGTTTTTAAAAGTATATCCTAAATTGCTCAACATTATGGGAAACTTTGTAACTACAAAAAAAACTTATCAAACAGTTCCTCATAAGATTTGAAATTTTCATTCAACATTCCATCTCTGAGATTTATCCACATGGCTGGATACAGCGTATCCACTTTGGCTAGAGAAGAATGCTGTGTATGTAAATGTATTGCACTGTAATTACTCCTCCTCAAGAAAGGTCTTACTTTTGTCTTGCCATCACAAACATTTTTGCTAGCAAAGTGTCTTTTTTTGAGACAGGGTTTCACTATGCAGTTCAGGTTGACCTTGAACTTACTGTGTAGCTCAAGCTGGCCCTGAACTTGTAGGGATCCTCCTGCCTCAGCCTTCTGAGTGCTGCGATCACATTCTCTCCAACATTTAGTAACCCCAATTTGTTAATTTTAGGGTAGAAAAAGGCATTTAACTGCAGGCTTACTTTGCATTTTCCTGCTGATTGCTAAAGCTGAGCATTCCTTCTTATTTGTTGGCTCACTTGTGCTTCCTCTTTGATGAAATGCTTACAGGTACCTTTTGCTCATTTTTCTCCAGAGTTGTTTGCCCTTTTCTCACTGTTTCATAGAAATCTTCTATGCATTTTGGATACAGATTATCTGGTTTTGCCTGTTCTAAATTACCAGGTGCAGGTAAATGTTGAGACAAAGCAGACTAGAAAGAGCAAGCTAAAGTACCAACATTTTTCTCAACCCATTTTTGAAACTTTATTTTTTAGTTCTGCTTGATTTGAAACAGGGTATCACTGTGTACTTCCAGTTGGACATAAAGTCACCATGTAGCAGGCTGGCCTCAAAGTCATGCTCATCCTACTTCAGCCTCCCCAGTGCTGGCACTGTAGCGCCACCCCTAATCTCCACCCCCTTTGTAACAGTGTGACATCTACAGATACCATCAAGTACTAGAAATATAAAATACTGCACGACCAATCCAGCTTTTTCATTTTAATATAAATCCAGTGAAGAACACATGTACCAGAACTGATTCTCAAAATTAAATTATATAAATTAGAATGACACAGAGACTCAAATCCCAGAGTGTGCTACACAGTCAGCTACACTTCCTTGAATCTCTGAGTTACTTTCCTACGCTTAACATATGAACTGCGCTGGGTAATTTCTAAGGAACTTCAAATCAATTATGCTCTTTGGCTTGAAGATCAATGAGAAAAGATAAATTCTCAGACAGTTCTGAAAGATGCTTAGTAGTCTCTCCAAATTTATACAAAGTACTGTTAAACTAACTGGCAATTTTCTTCCAGAAAATTTTGATAAGCAGTTTTATAATTTTCCTATGGTTTCCAGGACTCTTGGTAGAACATGCCACGAAAAACACTGGGAGAAAAAGCAATCAAAGGCCACATAAGAGCTGCACCCCTCTATACACTGACTAGCATCGGGAAAGGCATCCAGAGCCTCTCACGGTAGCTGTTCCCTCCTGTCTCTAATTTCAGGGACCTGTCAAGGTCTTAACTCCGCCACCACTGTGTTAGAGGTCAAGCCTCTACTCAAGACACAAGGACACTGTTCCAGTAAGCTCCCTTCTGTCTTCTGCATCACTATTCCTCCTTCCAACAAAGCAAACTCACTGGCGGATCCATGTGCAATTATTAGATAACAAGCCACCGCAACAGTGTTTAACCCCACACACTGTTCTAGAGAATGGTCAATTCTTTGATTTCCTTTGTGGCAAAATGTCACAAACGTGTTCGCCCTGCATGCAAGTTGTGTTTCCATTCAAATTGCGCTCACCCTGCTCAGACTCACTCCACACCACTGAAAGGTAAAGGTGACCAATCACCTATGGACTTAAATCTGCAGTCAGCCAGTTCTCATCACTTTTAAACTACCAACAGCTCCTGGCAGGACTCATCATGCCCTGACGTGCTCTCCTTCTCTGGCTCCTACACTCTGGATTTCACCCTATCTCACTAGCACTTTCCTGGCTCCTCCTCTCAACCTTAAGCTCTAAAGGTTCAATGTCTTACTTTTTCTCTCTAATCTACCAGCATATACTAGTAACCACCTACAAAATAGGTCCAGAGTCTGACCACCTCTCACCACCTCCACAGTAACTACTATGGTCAGATTCTGCCTCACCTCTCACATGGGTTTGTAGTATATTTTAGCACTGACCTCCCAACTTTGGGCTTCACCCCATTGTTTCCTTCTCACCAAAGCAGCAAGAAAGATCCCAACACATAATCCATATAATGTACTATCAGCTCCCTCCATTCCCCAGTGGCTTCTCATTTCACTCAGAAAAACTGATTTGGTTTTTGAGAACAGATAGTCAGTCTCAACCTATGTAGTCCAGGTTGGCACTGAACTTGCTATGTGGCCAGTCTGGCCTTGAACCCCTAATCCTCAGGACTCAACCTGCCATGTGCTAGGATTACACATTTGTGCCACCATGTTTAGCAAAAGCCAATGTTTTGTTTTGTTTTTAGAAGATGGTTTATTTGAAGGTGGAGGGAACGGCATAGAGAGATATGACAGATGGCTACTCAAGGAGCAGGGGCTGTTTCCGAGCAAAATACTCCAAGTCAAAGCTTTTTTAAGTGTGTCCCCTTCTTCCTGACTCCTTGATAAAACTGTTCATGGGCCAGGCCCTGTCTTGGGACCTTTACACCTCCTACTCTTAGCCAGACAAGCACCTCTAAGAGCCCATCTCTACAGGCCTCTCCCACCCTATCTGCCGATCAATGCTCAAATGTCTCCTAGCAAAATCCTAACCTACTCCATTGAAAATTCACTTCAATTGCAACATATCTACTCTCAGCATTCCCCAATCCCTGTGTTAGATTTTTCTCTAATCTTACCAAGGAACACTCATTTCTTTTACTCTGCCTGTCCTCCCACAGAAAGGTGAGATTCAAAAGCGGGCATAAGCTGGGCTGTGTTTGCTGCCTAGAAAAGGGGCTGGCAACAGCGGGCATTCAATATAAACACTAACAAAGGACAAATTCCTCTTTGGACTTAAAAAAGAAATCTTTCTGAATTTTAAAACAAGAGTATTAATCTTAATAATCGAAGGACAATAACTAAACTCTTTAAAATAATCCAAAATTAGGGCCAGTCAAATAGCTCTGCTTAGGCAGATGCAAGGATCGGAGGTCG